AGAGAGAGAGAGAGAGGAGTGAAGATGGGGAGACATGTGTGTGTGTGGAAGAGTGATTTTATTAGGAAAGAAAACATTACAGTCCAATATTTAAAAATAGATGTCCTTAAAAGATATTTTATTTCTAAAACCTGGACAGAAAGGAAAAAGCTCACACATAAAACCACGAGTTCTAGCCTTCACAACATCATTTTGTAGTAATTCTAACGACAATAAATTCAATATTTTGTTATTAGAGTGTCACGCCTCTTTAGCTTGAGACTGGGGCAACTGTTACCGATTGATTGGATATTGGGCCCAATATTGCTTGGCATTTCTAACGAATAACGTTTGGTGACCTCTTCTTCACTGCACTAGGTTACTGAATGAGAAACTTATTGCACAAGCAGGTTTACTGTGTTTGTTAGTTTTTTGTTAGTTTTATCGCTGCTTGGCAAAGTTAAAAACAAAAAGACAAAACAAAATTCCCTCCAACCCCACCCCAACAAACAACAACAAACAAACAAACAAACAAACAAACAAACAAACAAACAAACAAACAAATAAACCAGCAAAGCAACAAGACAGACGGACGTACAGAAGGAAGCACTGTTAAACCCTCTGACTCTTGCACCGACTTATTCAAGACAGCCAGCCACCTGTACAAACGACCACTTCCCAGTTCATCCCTTGTGGGTTAACATTTTAAAAATAATAATATTATACAATGTATTATAATGACACTGTCCAAGATGATCATCTGTAGGCCTATTAGTTATCACATTTCTCCCTGACAATGGGTGATCGTTTTGGACAGGTTAGACGGTATTTTCATATGTTGTGACATTTTGACATTCCCTTTTTTATCCCTTCCTTTGTGTGGTCTTTTCTGTAACGCTTCGCAATGAGACTGTTTGTTTTTAATCTGGGTCTATTATCGCAGCAAAAGAGGTGTCATTTACCCGGTCGAACTGCGCCGATAACTCGAATAATGTAAAAATAGACGTTCTCTGTTTTCTTTGTTTTCTTTGTTTTTCCTCGGAGACTTCAGTTGTAAATAAGACTCAGTCACTGGCGTGCATGCAGTTATTGCCTTAGCCAATTGGCTCAGGTTTGAATCTGGGATGGAATCCGATGTTTCGTCCTGCTGTTTCTTGAAATACATGTACATATACTAAAAGTTAGACTCGTGTCCGGTTGACGTTTCAAGTGCAACATTGCACGCATAATCTTGTTTATGTGTAGAAAGGAGTTTGATTCCTGTAAAAAGGCGGACAGTATTTCCCGTTGGCCTATCGTTACGGGCACTTTCGCCACTCCTCGATGTTCGGAACGTAATGGAAGGTCGCGCGTATAACACGAGACGTAAAACAAAAGCAAAGCTAGGGTTGTTGACACAAAGGGGTTAACGTATCTTACGCGTGGAATGTTTTGACGTCGTATTATGGTTGGTGGGAGCGAGTGGGAGAGGACCGTGGGTCTCATGTGGGAGCCAGATGTGGACAGATCCGCTCCCCGTTGCACGTGCTAGCAAGACGCGGAGTGCTCTCCTTTTTGTTTTTGAGGGTGAGCAACAAGTGATTGCTACAGGAGGAAAAAATCAACGCGGTGTGAAACATAAGTCCACTGTTTTGATAATCGCTTCGGTGTTCATTTCTTGTAAAGAACGAGGAAACCCCTACGCGTGTGCACACATCATCTTTAGCTCTTTGTACGTTGTGCGTCTGTAAGAGTGAAAATGAGGACGAACGTGGAAGAAAGGGGCTGGTGAGAGAGCGAGCGAGCGAGAGAGAGAGAGAGAGAGAGAGAGAGAGAGAGAG